TTTCGTGAAAGATTTAGGATAATATACGACTTGGAGGCTAATTTTTAGAATATTTTTAAACATGGCGTGGTGAAAAAAATTGTTAAAAAGATCGATATTGATTTCCGACGACGTCATTTGAAAAACAACAAGATTTGGAGAGTTGTTTTATTTGATAACTCGCGTTAATTGATTAAAGCTTCACAAGATAAATTATATACTTAACTAATCTATACAAACCATAAACGTATGTACGTAACAAAAGATGTAGTAGGTTAATAGTTGGTTTTATTGTGCCTTTAGACTAAAAATTGATTTCGAATCCACAAAAGTTATGGTTTAGGCCCGAATTTCGAGTGTTACAAAAAAAATTAATTTTTTTTTATCACAACGACCTTTAAGATGAAAGAGTGGTGGTGTTACCTGCGAGTCTAGCAACTGAGTTCCAACGACCTTCACCGTGAAGACGGACGTATTCGATCAAGAGACGATCTTCTTCGCCGGTCCATGGACCTTTTCTCCAAACTTCTTCCGCAATTCCCCACCAACTCATTCTTCTTTCTGATTTGATTTTGTTCTGAGGAAAATATTTGATTTATTTTCTCTATTGGATTCTACCAATCTGTTTCTTGGCTTTTGTTTTTTGTTATGAAAACTCTGTGATGCTCTGGTTTGATGTTTATCATCTTCTTATATATGCACTGACTAAGCCTTCTTGGGTCCATCACTTTTCTCCCTCACTACCTTTTTGTTTATTTAGAGAGAGATAGTGAGCAAAGATATAAACAAAATTTAGAATATAATTATATTGTAAAACGACTGTCAATTTTTCTTTTAACATATTGTATCATAAGAAGGCAACTACAAGGAAGAAAAACATATAACATTTTTAAAAGATTAAGCGTATAATCACGATAGGTAAAAGAGACCAGGATACTCTAGGCTACAGAGAATATTTCATTGTAATCGATGCTATAAGCCATAAATTTTGAACTCATTAGGTTGCAAAGATTCTTTTAGAAGGAACTAGAATAATTTCTCTAAAGTTCGAGTTTTCAGTTGGGAAGAATTGTTTACACATGTTTTTTTTAACATGTATACTACTTACGGCTGATTTCTGACAAACAAAGATTATGGATTGAAGGTTACAAATTCGTTTTGTTTAGTTTTGATCAAAGAGAAAGTCTTTGTTAACATTCAATGATCTTATACAATTTATAGCAAATGATATGATTAGGAAAAGAAACAAATACAATTAATGCTAAATAATGGAGTAAACTGGTATGCAATATGAATGTATTTTTAAAACGGAAAAATGTTCTTGTTGTTTAATAAAAAGGGTGTTATAGGGGGATTAAAGAATGAATATTAAGGCATTGGGTAACATTTTCTAAGGCATTAAACCCATTAGAATAACTCTTTTTATGTAAACGTAAGATCCACAAAAGAAATTAACACCACTAGAACTGATCCAATTCTTTTGACACGTACACGATCTATAAATGAGTTTATAGAGGCCTATTTTTAAAATGTAGCCTCCTCAATTAAAATGTTTAAAACCATAATTAAAAAATGAACAACAATTGATGAAGGTGGAGTAATACATGTAACTGGACCACTCATATCTATCCAAGTGTAAGGGAAAATTCAGACATGCGATCTCACATTGAATTCTTGTTTAATTTATGTTTGTTGGATTACACGTAAGGACTTTGTGGCAATAAATTATGCAAGTATTTGAATCAGTTAACGGTCTTTTTACGTCACTATGAGACAGGTGGTCTTTATTATTCCCATTTTCATTAGATATTTTTAAGATTGTAACACTATTATCATCACTACCTAAGTAAACCATTGTCAGTTCTACTATTTTCCAAGCCCTTTTTAAATGTTGTTACCAAAAGTTACGATGAATATCATAACACATTGTGACTTACCACTCAGAATACCATCTTTCACTTTACACAAGCACAAGACGTTAAAATTTTACATTTTTTTTTTAAATAGGTTTCAACTACTGTAGATAGGTAAATATGATGACGAGGCTCGATCTGCACCACTTCCAGGTCTTCTCGGACTCACTATCTCTGGACTCACAATCTCTGATCAATCTGATAACAACCAAGAATTAAAACATTGAACTCTTTGGTGTCCTTCAAGACATTGAATCTCTATCTCTAGATCTAAATATTATCGCTTTTTAGATATGTCCAAAGAGCATTGAACACTGAGGTTGATTCCTTAGCAAAATCAGCTCTCTTTTCTGTACCAGACATTTCCGGTTGGCAACCGGTTTAATTCTAATATTAATGAGATTTTCGACAAAAAAAAAGTGGTAAATATGATGAATGTTGATTATGCAAATAATTATATCTTTTTGCGTCAAATACTTTATTGGCATACTATAGTTTTAAAAAAAAATTGGCATACTATAGTTCTAAATAAAATTATACTGGATAACACTTTTGTTATCGACACTAAAAATCTAATATGTTATCCTTTTATAATAAAATAAAGAAGATTTGCTAAAATAATCTTCACGATACTTGAAAGTGTTTAGGATGAAAACAATAGTTTCATAATACGTTTGAGAATTATATATAATGAATGAAAATTTTCAAAAAAAAAAAAAAAGAATTATATATAATGAATCATGGTTGTGACTGTTAAGCATAAAAGAGGAATTATTTTTACTCTAGTTTCTTTAGGTTCTACAAGAAAAAGGTATCAAATTTTTTTTATAGTCAAGTACTTCTTTTTTTTTTATTTAAAAGAAAATTTTTCTTCAGTTAATAAAAATGAAAATAATTATTATGGTTGTATATGCTTTTAAATAGGTCTAAATAAAATTAATTTTTTTTCAATTCTTCTTTTAAATCATCCAGTCACATCACATATATTTGAGGTTATTATAATTATGTGATGTGCTATTTATGAGGAAGCTACAAGTTTGCCGAATACAAATATGTTAAAAATAAGTTTGTAAACAAGTATGTCGACTAACTACAAGTGTGCCGACTACAAGTCTACTAACTACAACTCTGCTATTCGCATTTGTTGAAGAGATTATAAGTATGATATCCACACTTGTTTAAGATGAGATTAGACTAATCAATAGAGTATGCGAGGCCAAATAGATTATAAGTATAAGTATGATATTCACAAGTCAAACTCTTAATAAATATTTTATTTATTTCTTCTTTATTTTCTAGAATAATTCTCATCTGTATCTATGAAGTTGTAGATATCAGAGAAAATAAGTTTGATTAATAAAAATCTCTGATATTGTTTATGTCATTTGGTTCACTTCGAACTACCTTTGGCTAGGGAAGAATTGAATTTCAAAAGATTCTTGGATAGTATTGGCGAGATTCTGCTCTCGTCATCGTGTCCGACGATTTCAACTCCCTGTTTGATTCTAGAGAGAATGCTACTTCTTCATCTTACGTGTATTTGGAGGTACATGTAGAGGCGTGTATCACTTAATGTGTACAATAAAAACCTATGATAAGTGAGTGAAGTATATATAACTTATTGCATTGAGAATTTTCTAACGTTAATACTTTACCTTATTGGAGATTATGCCGTTATGATATTAAACATATACAACTATGATTGTGCGACGAGTGTCAAGATGATGCAAACTAACCAAACAAGTGATAATATACAGATTTCTCTGTAGTCCTAATTTTCTAACTAAAAACTTGATAAAGAATATGAATATAAGCAGTAGAATTATGTGTCTTTAAGTGGTTTTAAAATGGATGAGAGAAGATAAACATAAATGTAAAAAACAAATAAATTTAATTTAGTTCACCAGCGATGTGTTGCTTACATCTACATGTAAAAGGGATTGATTTATTAATGGAGGCAAAAATTTCATAATACAGTAGAGACTAGGGAGGATAAGAGTGTTTGTAGGAAAAAAAAATCCTAATTCTACCTAAACAGTTTTTTAAATGACTGTACTGATTAGTATAGATTTCGTACTGATTGGTATTGTGATCTCGGCCAAAACTTGTTTCTTGTAATTTTTGAGTAAAACATGAGTAGTTATTCTTCCAAAATACCAAAAAAGATATTCAAGGCATTCAAC